GGCATGATGCGCAGGAGAACCATACAAGAACGAGGGGCGACAACTACAAGCTCGAAGAGGACATGGGGGGGAGTCGGGATCGCAGAGCAAGAGAAAAACGTGCGGGAAGCCGAACCATCAGCACGGCAGCAGCAGAGGGAAGGTGACTGCAGGAGGAGAACAAGGACGACAGCGGCGTCTAATTTGAGTCTGCGGTGGGTACCCACTGTGCTGTGCCACTCAGCAGCCCTCGAACGTGGCGACAGTTTCACAGATCGCAGCCCCCCAGGGACGGCGAGGTCTAATTTGAGTCTGCGGTGGGTACCCACTGTGCTGTGCCCCTCAGCAGCCCTCGAAAGTGGCGACAGTTTCACAGATCGCAGCCCCCAGGGATGGCGAGGTCTAATTTGAGTCTGCGGTGGGAACCCACTGTACTGTGCCCCTCAGCAGCCCTCGAAAGTGGCGACAGCTTCACAGATCGCAGCCCCCCAGGGATGGCGAGGTCTAATTTGAGTCTGCGGTGGGTACCCACTGTGCTGTGCCCATCAACAGCCCTCGAAAGTGGCGACAGTTTCACAGATCGCAGCCCCCCAGGGATGGCGAGGTCTAATTTGAATCTGCGGTGGGTACCCACTGTGCTGTGCCCCTCAGCAGCCCTCGAAAGTGGCGACAGTTTCACAGATCGCAGCCCCCCAGGGATGGCGAGGTCTGAGAGTGCTGCTGCCCCAAGCAGCCCTCGAAAGTGGCGACAGTTTCACAGATCGCAGCCCCCCAGGGATGGCGAGGTCTAATTTGAGTCTGCGGTGGGTACCCACTGTGCTGGCCCCCCAGCAGCCCTCGAAAGTGGCGACAGTTTCACAGATCGCAGCCCCCCAGGGATGGCGAGGTCTAATTTGAGTCTGCGGTGGGTACCCACTGTGCTGGCCCCCAGCAGCCCTCGAAAGTGGCGACAGTTTCACAGATCGCAGCCCCCCAGGGATGGCGAGGTCTAATGTGCGTCTGCGGTGGGTACCCACTGTGCTGTGCCCCTCAGCAGCCCTCGAAAGTGGCGACAATTTCACAGATCGCAGCCCCCCAGGGATGGCGAGGTCTAATTTGAGTCTGCGGTGGGTACCCACTGTGCTGTGCCCCTCAGCAGCCCTCGAAAGTGGCGACAGTTTCACAGATCGCAGCCCCCCCGGGATGGCGAGGTCTAATTTGAGTCTGCGGTGGGTACCCACTGTGCTGTGCCCCTCAGCAGCCCTCGAAAGTGGCGACAGTTTCACAGATCGCAGCCCCCCAGGGATGGTGAGGTCTAATCTGAGTCTGCGGTGGGTACCCATTGTGCTGTGCCCCTCAGCAGCCCTCGAAAGTGGCGACAGTTTCACAGATCGCAGCCCCCCAGGGATGGCGAGGTCAAAGGCAGGGGGGAAGAGAGGGACGGGAAGGAAGGAAGGAAGGTTCGCGCGAGCAGTGCTCTATTCAAAACGAGAACCCAACGCAGGAGGGTTGGGAAAAAAGACACTGGGGATTCCCACCCCGTTTCCCTTCCCCTTTTCTCCTCGACAACGGCAAAGGGGTCACTATCAATGCGAATTTCTCTCTGTCTGCCTCCCTCCTAATAATCCATTGTGCAAAAGAAGGGGAGTCAATACAGGTGCGAACCCCCGCCGCCGCACTTGAAAACCAAAGGGTGATCACTGCCGGTTCGAACTCATCTCCCACCCCTCGCCGCCATCGAACGATTCCCGCTCCGAGACAGTTTTGGACAGTTGTGGGGATATATCGTACACCGAAACTGGTGAGAACGGTGGTGGTGGGGACAGTGGTGCGTGATCTGTGGTGCGGACAGTGGTGGGAACGGCAGTAGTGGGGACAATTAGTGATGAGGGGAGGGGGCAACGGGACAGTAGTAGGGACAGTGGGACGGTGGTGGATGGGGACGGTTGCGGTGGGACAGTGGTGAAAGGTCGTGAGGAGGAGAGTGGTGGCGACAGTGCGAGAATGGTGGTGGAGACAGCGGGACAGCGCAATGGGACAGCGGCGGGCGCAACGGGACAGTGTAATGGCAACACTATAGGACAGTGGTGGGGACCGTGGACAAAAAAGAAAAGAGTCGGACCGTGGTGGGCAAATGGTGGGGAAAATGGAGACAGTGAGACATTGGTGGGGGCACTGGTGGGAACAGCGGGGACGATGGTAAGAACAGTGGGGACAGTGGGACCATGGTGAAGGATGCGGGACAAAGGTGGGGATGGTGGTGGTGGTGGGGACAATGGGATTGTGGTTGGAACAATGGGACAGTGGTGCGGACGGTGATGCTCGGGACAATGGTGACGGCGGTGGCGAGGACGGCGAAAGGACAATTGGAAAAGGGCGAAAATAAGACTGTGCTGGAATCAGCGGTGGGGACAGTGGGGACGGCGGTGGTGGGAACGGTGGTGGTGAAGACAGTGGTGCTGGGGACAACAGTGGGGATGTGGCGCGGACGGTGGTAGGGACCGGGAGTCGTTTGCTGGCGGTGAGCGTGGGGAGGGGGGGGGAAAGGGTTCGAACCGGTAATGCCCCTCCCCGGTTTTCCGGAGGAGGGGGGGGGTTCGAACTGGTAGTGACCTCCCCTCGGTTTTCTGGAGGAAAGGGGGGAAGGGTTAGAACCGGTAGTGTCCTCCTCTTCGGGGAGGGGATAAGACCGATCACAACCTGTTCGGACTGTTCCGGAACTACTTCGGTCGGATTGCAACCAGTGGAAACGGAGTGATCGCAACCTAAAGGATTCATTTCTATACAAACCTGTCAGGAGAACACCGGATTGCAACCGATCCAAGAGCTCCTGCTGAGGCCTCTGCAAAGCTTCTCTGGCGTCTCTGCAAGGCTTCTCTGATGGCTCTGAAACGATTGTCTGAGGCCTCCGAATGGCTTCTCTGAGGCCTCTGCGAGGCTTGTGGGAAGCTTGTGAGAGGCTTGTGGGAGGCTTCTGAGAGGCTTGTTGCAAGCTTATGAGAGGCTTCTGAGAGGCTTGTGGCAGGCTTCTGAGAGGCTTGTGGGAGGCTTCTGAGAGGCTTCTGCGAGGCTCCTGAGAAGCTTCTGAGAGGCTTCTGAGGGGCTTATGACAGGCTTCTGCGAGGCTTCTGAGAAGCTTCTGAGAGGCTTCGGAGAGGTTTGTGAGAGTCTTCTGCGAGGCTTCTGCGAGGCTTCTGCGAGGCTTGTGAGATGCTTGTGAGAGGCTTGTGAGAGGCTTCCGAAAGGCCTGCCCCGTAGGCCCCACAGGTCCCACAGGTCATGCGTGTCGCACGGGCGCCAAAGGTCTCGAACGCCGCGCAGGGCGCACACGTCCCCCAGCCATGTTTCCCATCACCACCACAGGCCCAGACCGCCTGGCGTCGTGACAACATCTGTTTTTGTTTCGGGCTCGGGGGGCCATCGCCGAGCCCAGGGGCCGTCCAAAAGTGACTCAATATGCAATGCTGGTCTATTGTAGGTTCATGCGGCGTTGGCGCGCCGGCGACGTTGGCGAAGGCGTTCAAGGCTGCATTTTGCGACGCGGAAACACCAAAGGACACGTTGGGCTCACTGTACCTGACGAAATTCAATATTGAACGATCGGGGCCGCGATCGATTCAAGGTTGAACGATCCACGCAGTGCCAAAAGCCTTGCGGGTGCCGACGCCGCACAAACCTACCGTAGGGGAATTCGTCCAGACCTCTGGGGGTCGACGTCCTGGAAAAGTCATGACATAGAGGGTTTGGGCCGCCGCGTCTACCCGCCTCGCCCAAGGCGAATGTCGGACCTGGACTGCCCTGGCTCTGTGTGGTGGTGGGGGACGCAAAGCATTTGAGCATTTCCATGTGCAGCATGCGTTATGAAATTCGGAGTACGGTATGAGAAGCGCGCGTGACGATGAAATTCAGACATTTGCAATAATCCCCAAACATTGTGGTTCAGCTCAGACGGAATGGCATCAGATGTTGTAGCATATTTGCAAAGTACGTACGCCGAGGGGGGTACTACCTCACGTCCGAGTCAACCCTGCTGTAACATTCAATATCTCGGCATATCCCCATACAGCGTCGGTGAGCATATCTCGGCATTGCAGTTTCAGTATGAAGTGAACGCTCAATCTTGTTCTGCAAGGGCGCTTGCATGCGACGAAAATGATGGAAACAAACTTCGGCGTCTTCGCACCACGTAAATGCCTTCGATAAGGGCTTTTGGAATAACAGATCTACGCAACATTATTCGTCGAAGTGGACGGGCCCCCAGGGTAGGCGAACGCGTGCATACCATCATTACCGGCACACCGTGGACCCGTGCGCCCGCACCGTCGAGCATACGCGGTCGCAAGCAACATTTTCCGGCGTGCCGCCCTGAGCAACTGGAGGCGCAGGGACGCCTTGTTGGAGCCCCTGCGGGCCACAGGCGAAGGCCACAGCATGGCGCGCAACGGCGCGGAGACTACCACGCGCACCGGCGCGGAGACTGCCGCCCAGATGGTAAGATTTTGCGCCGCTGCTCCCTCGGGCGGCAACGCGACGCAACTACTCGAGCATTAAACATCCCACACAACAGCGGCCAGCGTTGTACATGAGCCACGTTCGGCGGCAGCTCGCTGGAAACTGCTGCGTGAAAGGCGCTGCTGCCTTGGGCGGCACTGCCACGACACTAAATACTCGAGCAGCGGTCGGAGGAAATGGGCAGAAACATGAAGTAGGAAGGTGGGAGAAGCAGATTGGGCTCACGGCCAACCAAGAACACACACACACACGCGACAATCACAAGAAACGATTGCGATTTCTGGGCCCTCTCCTTGCGGCGTACAGCAGCCCTGGGTCGCTCGGCTCCATCGGCGGCCCCCTCCCTGGCAGGATCCGTATCAGGGCCAGTGCGAGGAATGGGGCCCAGATTTTATGTCGCGCAGGGCTCGGACCCGACGGACCGATCCCGAAATAATTAGTTTTGACCCAGGGAGGAGGACGTGGAGGAGGAGGAGGAGTAGTAGGAGTTTAGACCCACTTGCCTGCCACGCCAGGGCCGCCCGCGCCACCTAAGGCGGACGAGGAGCAGGAACACGTTGATGCCGAATTCCTCTTGGGCGAGCCACTGTGGGGAACCCCAGGCTCGGCACCCAGGAGCCCCCCTCCTCCTCCTCCTCCTCGCCCTCCTCTTCCTCCTCCTCCTCCTTTTCCTCTGTTCGATTGAGCAAGCTAGCGAGTCGGCAGCGAAGTTATGTGGGCATTTCGCGTTTTCCACCTTCTACTTTGCCGCCACCGCTTCGCCCCCCTGCCTTCCCTTGCTGCTGCGCCGATGTTGGTGGACCCACGTGTATATACAGGTTCCGAAGACCCGCTAGCATCCCGCCCAGTCAGACGCGCGCCTCTCTACTGCTCACTTGCCAGGAGCCCACTTGAGCCCAGCCAGGGCGAATGGTGCACCCGAAAGCGCACCACACGTGCGAGGCCACACCTGCGCAATTCCGAGTTAACACCCAGCGCCTGGTTCAGCAGCTCTACCGCAGCTGCCAGCCTGCCGCATGCCTCTCTCATGCTCACTTGCCAAGGACCCACGTGACCGCAGCTGGTGGCACTGTTGCACCCGACAGCGCACCACACGTGCGAGACCCCCTTGTTTCGAGCGACCTGGGATGCCGCACCCGCAGGTTCTCGTCCCTCCGCCCGCGTGCCTCCGCTCGGCGCTGCATGGGATGTTGAGGGCTGCATGGCGTACAGATACCCGAGTGTGTTGTCCTCCGCCGTCTGTCGCTCGCGCCGGTGAAGGGAGAATCTTATTCGTCCTGGCCAGGGATGACGGCAGTACGCATGCTCGGGCTAGGATGGCGCCACCCAATTAAGGCAGGCCACTTTGGCTGGCAGAAGATATAGTGTTGCAGTCTTTTTTTCCTGAGTCTTAGTGCGAAAGCCAGCGCTGTTTTCTCCCCGGTCTCGTTCTCGTGCCGTCTGGGGGCCGAAGATTTCTTCCCGCCTCTACTACGTGACGAGTGGCCGAGGGTTGCGTCCTTCTTTCCGAGACAGTCCACGACCGCCTGCCTCACTGTCTTCTGTTCTGCAATGTGTGGGTGTGTGCTGTTTTCGTACTATGCTGCACTGTCTGCTTGAAACTGCGACCGGCAGCCGAGATTACCCGCAGCCTTGGCGCCCGAGCCGATGCAAGTTCAGGGCATCCGTCCCTGCTTTGCCGTGGCGGGCTGCGTGCCGACCTGTCACCGGACAGGCCAGCGGTGGAATCAGGTGCGCCATCCAAAAAAGTCCGCGGCACTCCTGACCTCCCCCTCCACTTCCCGTCTCCTCAATGGGTCTAGCCGGTGCAGAACGCGGCCTGCGTGTCGAAGACGCACAGGCCGGTGTCGGCGCAGGCCGAGCAGTTTGCGGTCCTGGGAGTCCCCGTCGTCACCATCTCCTGCTTCCCGTCTCTTCCCTTCCTCACTCCTCCCCACTCGGCTTGGGCTTGGCATTGGTGCCGCTTTCCTCCAGGGGCGTCAGGGAACAGGGGGGAGACGGGACGTCGCGGGGGGGCGGGGGGAGGCGGCAGGAGGGCGGGCGGGTGGAGGAGGGAGGAGAGGGGAGAGAACGGGGAGAGGGAGGAACGATGGGTAGGGAGGAGGGGAGGACAGGGGGAAAGAGGAAAGGAGGACAGGAGAGGAGTGAGCGGGGGATGGTAAGAGACATGAGATAGCATAGGAGGCGCGGGGAAAGCGGAGATGGAGAAGCGGCGCGGGCCAGTGCAGCGGGACCAGCAGCAGGATGGCAGAGCCCGCAGACCCCCCAATGTCCAGGACGGGCAACTCCACGGGAGTCCTTTGCCGAGCCGCCCAAACGAGGGCACCGCCCCAACATCGCCCAATATTCTATCTGAGCCACCAGCGGTCGTGCGCCGCCGCTGCCTGCAGGGCAGAGTAAGGCCAATCCCAAAGCAGCCTGATACAGTCGCCGTGCTAAGACGAGGAACGAACGCAAACAAAAACGATGGGCCCTGTCTGCCCACGTCGAGCCCACGAACAGAATCCCCGACCCGGACCTCAGTCAGGAGCGGGCCGAACACCGGAGCCCCTCCCGAACCCCCAAAGGGTCTCTATCTCGGCGTCTCGATTGCAGCCCCAGCCGCGCCAGACGGGCTTCCGCAGCAGGGGCCGTGCACCAGAGAGCTCTCCCCTCGATGGCGCCCGACCCCGCCAGCCCGCCGTGCCCGCCGGGTGCAGCCTGTCACGCCTTTGCCTCCGGGGGCGCCCCAGCGCGCGGCCCCTCCCGCCTGCCGCGGCTGCGTGCTGCCGTGCCCCCTGGGGCGGGCGGGCCGCCGCGCCTCAGCTCGGGGCGCTGGCCTCCTGCAGTGACCGCGCCGAAGAGATGCCCTCGCGGGCCGTCCCCTGCGGGGGGCGCGCGGCCCTCGGCCTCGCCACTCGCCGGCGGCGCCCGCGCCCCTCCGCGGAACTTGGCCGGCCTCTCGCGGCGGGAGGCTGCGCCCTCGGTGCCGGCGCCTCTGGCCTGCTCCTCGTGGCCGCCTGCCGGTGGCCAGCCCTCCCCGACGGCGCGCCGAGGCCACCGCCGCCGCGCCGGGCCCGCTCTCGCAGCCTAGACAGGCGGTGCCAGCGAAGATGGCTTGCGTCTTGACGCAGAGATAGCAGCGCACCTGCCATTCGAGAAAGTCCCGTCGCAGAAGAGCGGTGCCCTTTCGCTCGCCGCCTGGACCGCGGACGCTCCGCGGTCGCAGCGGGCGCGCCTGCGCAGCGAAAAGCGCTGGAGAAGGGCGAACTGCGCGTACTCAGCCCAAACTAGGCGAACTAACTGCTCTGCGTCGAGGGCAGCCTGGATCCCTTTGAACATCGGAAAGGCGCCTGCATGCTCGCGGCAGACGACGCGGACACCGTCCGCGAGTACTGCGACCAACCCGGCCGCGCGCCGCACTAGGCAAAACGCAAAAGAACATACCACGAGCAGCATCAGCAGGATGCAGCACTGGGCGCCCTTCCCCCTGCAATGCATACGGGGGGAGGCCAGCCAAACTGCCAGGGCCGCCCGTGGAGGATGGAGAACATCTCAGAAAACTAGCCTGATAGGGCAACATGGGCCATCACCTATCATGGACTGCGACCACAACTGGCGCCGCGTCGCCACGGGCCCCCACGACGCGGACGAGGTGCATGCCGCGCGCAGCTCGGCGGGCAATTGTCGCAACGACTACTGCCGCCTTCCCGCGTCGGGGGCGCGGCTGCGCTCCGATGCGCAGAAAGAGCATTCACACTCATCGGCTCCGCCCTTTGGCTCATGCGCGGCAAGAGCATGGGGGCCGCAGGCAGGATTGAGTTGGGGAGGTCGCGTAACGACGTTCATGTGGCATCTTCGCCTCGCTGAAGCAATAGGAGCATCCTGGAGAGAAACACGCGCCGCGGCGGGGTGTGCACGTTGGCCAGGGTGGCCTCGGCAGTTGTGGTGCGCGCTGGCCTCCAATTGCTCTTACCCGCGGGCGCCGTCCCGTCTCCCGCTGCCGACCTTGTCCTGGGCACGGGCACTACCGGCGACACGGTCGTAGCGGTAAGTCGCCAACTCGCACGGGACCCGCGCAATTCTGGGCCAGACCCAACCGAGGCCGATTCGAACACCGGCGCGCGATCTTGAGGGGATTACCCGTTCTCAACGTGGTCGTAAGGAGGCGGTTCTTGGACTGGACGGCGTGCTCACTGCAGAAACCGCGCTGGCCTCGGCGACAGCCTGTGCGCCTTCAGCAAACGCAGGGGGGGGCCCAGATCGCCTCGCCGAAGAAAAACCGACGGTGGGGTCTTCGATGAGGACATGAAGACCACGCGCGGGTCGCGCCATTGCGCGGTCGGGGTGCCTGGCCGCACACTATATATCATCAGCGCATTACCACCTCGGCAGTCTGAGTTCTCGGGTGACTGCGCAGCTCACGACTGCGGGTCAGGGGTCGAATCGCCTCATGCAGAACTCACCAATCCATTCCTCGCAATTTTCTTGTACGCTGTTCGCTTCGGTTTCTTTATCCCCTCTGTCTGCATCTGTGTCTGTACCCGCCCCCCTTTCTCTTCTCCCTCTCTCTCTCTCTTCCTCTCCCTCTTCAATTTGTTTATTTCTCTCTCTCTCTCTCTCGCTATATATATGTATATATCTATATATGTATGTATATATATATATATATATATATATATATATAGCACTCTCTCCTCCTCTCCTTTCCCTGGCGCCCCCTAGAGCAATCCCTCAACCCTCTGAAGCTCTAGAGGAGAAAAGGAGAGCCGTCAGATCCCTTTAGAGCCTTCTCCCTGGATTCTGGAGCCTTCCGATGCATACCGCAAGCCTTCAAAGCTCCCTGGAGCCACCAAGGCCCTCGATAACACTCGAGTGCCCTCGGGGTCCGTCTCAAGGCACCGAGACTATCCTGGACATCCTGGGCCAGACCAGGAAGCTGGAGGACCGAGGAAGAGTACGAGGAGGAGGATGACAAGGAGGAGGAGGAGGAAAAGGAGGAGGAGGAGGAAGAAGAGGAGGAGGAAGAGGTCAGTCTGGGAGCCCTCTGAAGCTCTCTAGAATACCAAGAAGGCTTTCGGCAGCATTTCGGTGCTTTCTAAAGCCAGCAAAGAACGCTCGAGCCTCCTAGTTCCTTCTACAATCCGCTGCACTCTCTGGACCTACCGAGACCACTCAAGGTTTGCGAAAACATTGCGGTGCTCTCTCGAGCCATCAATTACACTCGGTCTGTCCATTTCCTTCTGCAGCTCATTACAATCTCTGGAGCTCCCGAGGGCACCCGAAAGCACTCGAGAGTCTGCTGAATCCCTCTACAAACCTCCCATTGGATTCTGAAGGCCTCTGAAGCGCACAAGAAACCTTCAAAGCCTTTTAGGGCAACCTGGAGCCTTTGAGAGCACTCGAATGCCCTCTAGAACGGTCTAGCGAGACCATTCTAGGATTCCTGTGGAGCCGCCTGGTCATTGTAAAAGCGCCTACAGCTGCCTAGAACCTTCAAGGTCATTGAAAGCCTTCCGGTGCCTGCTAGAGCTCTCGAACAGACTCGAACCTTCTAGTTCCCTGTGGAGCTCTCTAGTGCCACCTGCAGCACTCGCAAACCTTCTGGAACCCTCCGGAGCCCGCCGCTAGAGCCTTCGAGAACCGTGCAGAGCATCTAGAAGACTTTAGGGCCCTCTGGAGCTTTCTAGGACCTCTTTGAACACTACAGAGCCGCCCAGACCCCTCTAGGGCGAACTGTAAAACATTTGGTTGCCCCGAGGAACTGCCTAGAGCCTTCTTGACCCTCCCTGGTCATTCTTCTAAAACCCCATTGGGCCCCCTGTCCCCCAACCAAACATGTCCTCATCCCCCCCTTGAGCAGTCTAGAACCCACTAGACATTCCAATGCATTGCAGTAGCATGTAAAGCCGTCCAGATCACTCGAGCCTTCCAAATCATTCTCGAGCTCGGGGGGCGGCAGCCCAATCCCAGTACAATGGTTGTGGTGGTTGGTGGTGGTGCGGCCAAAACATCAATGCGGCGCCACCCCGATTTGGGAAAAGCTTCCTAATGCACGGGCGCAGTGCTTGACTTGCTTGGCATTGCTGGGCTTTGCTTGGCATTGCTTGGCATTGCTTGTAACGGGCGCAGCGAGAATACGAGGCTCCGGGGGCGACCCGAGGGCCCCAAGGAACCCGGGGAACCCGGGGAACCTGGAAAACCTGGGGAACCTGAGGAACCCAAGGGAACCCGAGGAATCTCCGGGCAACGGGCAACGCAACAATGGAAAGCACGGGGGGCTGGAATTCCGAGGAACCCGAGGAACCCGGGGAATCCGAGGAGCCCTGGGGGCCTCCGAAGAATGGGCACAGTAGCCTCCCGAGGCGCTAACCTTTAATCAAGTAAGAGCATCTTGCTCAAGCCTGATTGGATGTTTTTTTGTCACGTGGTCTTGCACCCCACACGCGCCCCAAAACCACCAACAGCATTGGACTGCGACTGCGGGAGTACTAGAAGGCCCCGCCGAATCGCCCAAGCCGAGAAGAACACATTCACTGGCGTATCCGCGAACCCACGAGGACATAATCAGAAAGAGAGAGAGAGAGAGAGAGAGAGAAAGAGCGAACGAGAGAGGGAGAAGGAGAGGGATAGAGGAGAGAAAGGAATCGGAACGCGAAGCGTAGAGAAGGGGGGGGGTAATGAAATCATCGATTTCGCAGGGGGCGATTCGACCGCGACCCCCCGGACTGCGCGCTGCCAGCGTGGAAGCGGGGCGACGCATGTGCTGGGGCAGCAATAGCCAGCCGCGCCAAATCCATCTGGCAAGCAGCGGGGTGCACCAAGGATGCCCTCTGTCGCGTGCCGGCGACGCGGCGCCGCGAACACCAGGGACGAAACCACAGACGAAAACAAC